TTGATAATTTGAAACTGATAAAGTGAACATTTTTTCCCGGTCCCTGTGTGCCGTGTCATTCTGAATTTTGTCTTTCCTAATTTTCTACATTACAAAATCATCGTTTTATCTAGTGAACATTTTTTCCCGGTCCCTTGAAAAATACTCGATAAGGTTGAATAAATTCATGGTCGTTTATGGAAGATGGACGAAGTTCCCGGAGGTCATCTTGGGCAAGCTCCCGCGAGGCTTTTTTTCTTGTCTACTTGGCATAGCTGTGTCACCAACTCTGCCCTGATTGGTCGGTGGGTACTTTGACTGTCGGCCGGCGGCCGGGCGAATCCATTCTCGCACGGGGTCTGCCCCACTCCAAACTTTTGGCAAAGCACTTTCTAATATTAAAGATTATTGTCTTAAATAATCTTTAAGAACAAAAGTATAATAATTGAACGATAGGAAATTATAGTAAATAATTATACTAAACTAAATGATGTAAAAATAATTATACATGAAATTTGAAATAAGTTTTAGAAAAGTTATCGTTAAGTCCACGGGAAAAGATGTAGCCAAAACAAATAGGTTTTTAACAGTGACACGTGAGCACCCGCCTCGAGACGCGCTCCTCTCTCCTAACATTACTCCCCCTCTTGAAAAAGCCTATCTCCGTCTAAATGGTGGCGCTGCTTGCGAGTTAAAGCTACAAATCTGCAAATAACTCTAAGGATATTAAAGATATTCAAGATATTATTTTTCGTAAACCTTTCCGGAGATACACCTAATAATATCCCAATATTTCACGGCGATTGGATGTATGGTTTTCGAATCCATAGAGGACACACAGACACACACACAGACATTCAATTTTATATATATATATAGATTAGTCCTTTCTACTTTACTTTTATAGAAAGCGCAATGTAAACTGCAATACGATACTTTACCCCATTGTTTATCTATTTAATTCCCCTAATTGACAATAGATGGCGCTCTTCCTATCTTCCAATACCCTGAACATTTTTGTACACACGTTGTGAAAAATATATTAAATTAAACTATTAATTAGCTTCCACTAATTAACCCTAGCTAACACCAACGGTTTACTATCCCCAATTTGCATGTTAATTAAATATCTACTCCAGCTTCCCTTTTTTTTAATGGAATATTATTTTTTTTATCATCATCATGTGTCATCATCATCATTTTGTGATGAATAAAAATGATCCCCGGCGCGGGGAGATGTGTTATTTCTGAGATTGATTTGTATTTGATTATTTCTATGGTAATATGCAAATATGGTAATCGACATTAAGATATGTTTGTCGTTTATTAATAGTGTCTCTTGTTATTTTTTTATTTGTTGGAAAGAAATTCAAGTAGCAAATGTTGCCCGGTTGTCTGTTTTTTTTTTTTTTTTTTCAAGGAAGACAGAGGTTGTTCACACTTGGTTATATCGTGTGTCTTCAATAAAGGTCACTGTAATATCTTTCAGAGTTATTGTCTGAATTCCGATATACATGCTGAAAGGTACAACTTCCTTAAGTTTTGTCCATTAGTGTATATTGGTTATCTCGTGTGTCTTCAATAAAGGTCACTGTAATATCTTTCAGAGTTATTGTTTCAATCCCGATATACATGCTAAAAGGTACAACTTCCTTAAGTTTTGTCCATGAGTGTATATTGGTTATCTCGTGTGTCTTCAATAAAGGTCACTGTAATATCTTTCAGAGTTATTGTTTCAATCCCGATATACATGCTGAAAGGTACAACTTCCTTAAGTTTTGTCCATGAGTGTATAATGGTTATCTCGTGTGTCTTCAATAAAGGTCACTGTAATATCTTTCAGAGTTATTGTCTCAATCCCGATATACATGCTAAAAGGTACAACTTCCTTAAGTTTTGTCCATGAGTGTATATTGGTTATCTCGTGTGTCTTCAATAAAGGTCAAGGTAATATCTTTCAGAGTTATTGTCTCAATCCCGATATACATGCTGAAAGGTACAACTTCCTTAAGTTTTGTCCATGAGTGTATATTGGTTATCTCGTGTGTCTTCAATAAAGGTCAAGGTAATATCTTTCAGAGTTATTGTCTCAATCCCGATATACATGCTGAAAGGTACAACTTCCTTAAGTTTTGTCCATGAGTGTATATTGGTTATCTCGTGTGTCTTCAATAAAGGTCACTGTAATATCTTTCAGAGTTATTATCTCAATCCCGATATACATGCTAAAAGGTACAACTTCCTTAAGTTTTGTCCATGAGTGTATATTGGTTATCTCGTGTGTCTTCAATAAAGGTCACTGTAATATCTTTCAGAGTTATTATCTCAATCCTGATATACATGCTAAAAGGTACAACTTCCTTAAGTTTTGTCCATGAGTGTATATTTGCACAACAATAAGCTATCCATTTTTATAAAGTATAGAAAAAAATATCATAAAAAAAATCACCTAGACACTAATCATTATATGGATAAATTCTCATGTTTGGAATAACTTCTCTCTCTCTCTCTTCCCGCGGTGGGCGCCACCAATGAAGACCTTGTATATATTTTATCTATATGTATATTTATCAATTATTTTTATCTATTTATATATATTTATGCATATATTTATCATTATATAATCATATTTATTCATATTTGTATTGTATTTAACCTTATACTAGCCGAGTGACCCGGGCAACGCCCAGGGTTTACCCAAAGGGCCTGCAGAGACTTTAAAAGTATAGATGGTGGCTTAAAAATCGCAATGGGTATATTCAGATTTCCTAGAAGCAGCATTTCAAGTAAGGATAAGTAAAAATACTTTCTAAGTATAAATTCGTTAATTCGACCATGTTTTGATTTCCAGAACCTATGAAATTACAAACAGTAATTCGACAATACCGATAATTCGACCCCTTGCGATAATTCGACCTTGATTTGATTTCCCAATCTCTGGCCTATCAAATAACAAACGGTAATTCGACAATATTAATTATTCACCACTTCTGATAATTCAACCATTTTAAAATGCAAATTTCGACGATTGATGTTTACTTACAACTTTACTAAAAAAAAGGTATTATAGATGCGAGCAACGAAACATTTTGAACCCATATAATGCAAATTCATATCCTCACTTATAGGGTGTCAAGCCTAAAGGATGCGAATTCATGTCCCTGATTTCTAAAAATTAACATAAAATTGTAGGCTACCAACGCGAATTCGCGTCTACTGGGATCTTTTCCCATACCTTCTTGCCTATTTATCAGTGGGTTGGGTTGGGGGGGAATGTCAGCTGTCCCAATGTACCTGTAAAATGTCACATGCGACCGAGTTCAAGCAGCCATTATTTTTATTTATTTCAAGCTATATAGATTACATTAAAAGAAAATATCATTTTTTAAACATGTTATTATATGAACAACTCGATTTTCATACGGCCCACTGGACCATGTAACTCTGGAATCATAAGTGCAAAAACAGACATCCCTAAAGGACTCCTTTAAAATATCTTTATGATTCTTTTTTAATAATATTCTTAAACATTTTTAATTTTTTTTTCATATTTATTAACTTTTCAATATAGAAAATAAGATAACATAAAAGGGATAAATTCATTTAATGGACCTCACTAAAAACTGCATTTCTAGCCGAGTGACCTGGGCAAAGCCCCAGGTTTACCCTAAAGGCCTGTGAATGGGCAGGATAACCATATGTGTGCCATTGCAAAGATCCTAAATCAATGTATAGAGCACTGGGGAAAATAGGTTTTTTTTTTTTTGCTTATCCCTAGTACACGTGGTACAGGCCATGATAATCATGGTGGGTAGTTAGCGACTGCTTTTACTGTAAGCGCACCACATGTCTACACATGTGAAAAGCAGTTTGACTTTGCACTTACAAATGCCAGAGCCCCGTTCGGTTACTTGCACTCGCTGGTGGGGTTGGACTTTTGCAAGAATCGGGGGCCATTGGAGCATTTTTTTTTTTTTTAAACAGAAAAAAGTGCCCAATGCGGGAATCGAACCCGGGTCCTAGTGGTCGAAAACCAAACGGTTTACCCAGCCTTCCACCGACCAAAAGTCAAAATAATAATAAATATTTTATGAATGAACAAATAATACAAAAAATTGCTTTCAGGTGAGAAACTATAGGCATTGGTGAAAACTTTAAAAAATTATATTGAAAAAAAAAAAAGAAAACAAATATTAAAAGAAAATTCAATACAACACAACTATATAGCAAATACAGCCATTATTTCTAGCCGAGTGACCCAGCAACGCCCCGGGTTTAGCCTAAAAACATGTGAAGCGCTAGATAACCATATGTGAGACATTGCATAGATCCTGAATCAATGTATAGAGCACTGGGGAAAATAGGTAAATAAAGACCAAAAATCAAAATACTTAATTATAAATATTTTATTAGTGAACAACTAATACAAAAAAATCCTTTCAGGTGAGAAACTATGTTGTTGATGTTTCTTATCCCCTTGTGTAAAGATTACACGAAGTCCATGATCTCATGGAATGGGGTATAGGGGTGCAGCTTTCGTTGATCATGGCACCATGATCCAGGCACACTTTGGTGAAAGTCTGACTTTGCCTGTGATTTGAGGCCATTCCAAATATGAAAGCCTTTGTTTCTGACTCTAACATGAGCACAGACGCAGCTCCTCCGTATCCCTGGAGTGGAACCATTGCTGAGGTCCATCAACTGGGTCAGTTGAACTCAGGATTTTTAAAGAGGGAGTGTCCCTCCTGGTTACAGCATCAAGTCTACCAGAACAAGACTTGATACAATCGTGTAGAGAGTTTACTGTACCTCCCAACAATGTCCACTGCACCACAGGCCAGTTACAGAGGGGTAAGCATGGGAGGTGTGAGAAACTATAGGCATTGGTTGATGAGGCACAATTTGGATTGTAGATTATAAACAAAAGGTAATAAGACCAAATCCAAATATATAAATAGTGTGTGACGTTTCAGTAACAGCGTTGTTACCATCTTCAGACAAAAGTACTGAATGGAAAAAAGGAGCCTACAGCACCCGGTGTTCCCAGGTGGTCACCCTCCCAAGTACTGACCGAGCCCGACGTTGCTTAACTTCGGTGATCGGACGAGAACCGGTGTTTTCAACGTGGTATGGCCGTAGGCCATAGTACTTTTGTCTGAAGATGGTAACAAAGCTGTTACCGAAACGTCACACACTATTTATTTATTTGGATTTGGTCTTATTACCTTTTGTTTATAGGCATTGGTGAAACTTTAAACAAATTTTTTGGAAATGAAACAAAAAGTAAAAGAAAACAAATCTTAAAAGAAAATTAAATACAACACAACAATATACCAAATTAGACAACATAAAAGGCATACATTCATTTATTTGAAATAAATATCCAAATAAATAAATAGTGTGTGACGTTTCGGTAACAGCGTTGTTACCATCTTCAGACAAAAGTACTGAATGGAAAAAAGGAGCCTACAGCACCCGGTGTTCCCAGGTGGTCACCCTCCCAAGTACTGACCGAGCCCGACGTTGCTTAACTTCGGTGATCGGACGAGAACCGGTGTTTTCAACGTGGTATGGCCGTAGGCCATAGTACTTTTGTCTGAAGATGGTAACAACGCTGTTACCGAAACGTCACACACTATTTATTTATTTGGATTTGGTCTTAATACCTTTTGTTTATAGGCATTGGTGAAACTTTAAACAAATTTTTTGGAAATGAAACAAAAAGTAAAAGAAAATAAATCTTAAAAGAAAATTAAATACAATACAACAATAAACCAAATTAGACAACATAAAAGGCATACATTCATTTATTTGAAATGAAAAAAAAAATTAAAAGAAAACAAATCTGAAAATAAAATTGAATACAACACAACTATATAGCAGATAAGACAACATAAAAAGGAAAAATTCATTTAAAGGACCTCATTAAAAACTATATTTCTAGTTTTATAAATACGTGGGTTCAACTTTACCCGTATGCTATTCAAAGTTCGCACACGTGAAAAAGCCACATAGAGCTGTCCATGAGTAAACACGGGCTCATGTAGCAAGAGACCCACTCTAGCAAAGGTTTGGCCTTGAGCCTTATTAATAGTCATGGCAAAAGCCAACCTTAGTGGAAACTGACGCCTCTTCAGAATGAAGGGAAGGTTGGTATCTGAAGGAGCCAAAGATATTTTTGGCACCAATACAGTTTGTCCAACTTTGGTCCCTGTCAGTATTTGTGCTTCTAGGACATGAGAGCGCATGCGCTGGATAACCATACGTGTGCCATTGCAGAGACCCTGCTTAGGATTCAAATTTCTAAGGAGCATAACAATAGCACCAATCTTAAGGTTTAACCGGTGTGGAGGCATTCCTGTGGGAGTAAGGCTATTAAGGAATTCAGTAGGGTAGTTATTTTGTTCCTCCACATTCTCACACTCGACACTGTCAACACTGAGAAAACACTGACTCCTGTTTGGTAAGCGATCCAAAACTTTTTCATTAATCTCTAATGAATCTGTGTTTTTTGGCGTTAAAATCACAGACTGGCTAAGGGCGGTAATATCACCATAGGAAGAACCAAATATTTCCTGCACCAGGTCAACCCCATGAAAGATACAGCTTTCTGGAAGAGAAATGAGGCCCTGTTGGTCTGTAGGTAGATCACCATCACCAACTTTAAGTAACCATTGAGAGAAGCTCTGTGCATCAATACCTGCTCGCATATTCTGAGTAAGGCGCAAGATCACAAACAATGGCCATAGCTTGCTTTGCTTAATGCAAGCAGCAACAATTTCAGCTCTTGAAGCTCGAGGTACCACAGGTAGCACTTGGCGAAAGTCACCTCCAAGAACAACAACCTTTCCGCCAAAAGCAAGGTCACAATGCATAATGTCCTTTAGGAGACGATCCACAATTTCAAGTGCTCTGTAGTGGGCCATAGGAGCCTCATCCCAAATAATTAAGGATGATCTACGAATAAGCTCAGCCTCAGAACTATTGGCCGAGATCGCAGCTACAGAATTCTCAAGCAAGGGAATCGGCAGCTTAAACCTGGAATGGACAGTCTGGCCACCTGACAAAAGGGTAGCCGCTATTCCAGTGGAGGCCAGCGGAATGACAATTTTTCCAACGGCTCTAACACAATGAATTAGGGTGTTATAAACATAAGTCTTGCCCGTACCACCAGGCCCATCAATAAAAAAGCAACGTGGATTTACATTGAGGGAATCAACAATTGTGTCAACAATTGACTTTTGATCTGGTGTAAGGGACCTATACATTTCTGTCCCAATTTGCAGCTCTGCATTAACATCAAGGTGATCCTCTCCTGAATCAAGAAGTGGGGTTAGGGGTGCAGGAAGTCCATAATGGTGGCAACTGAGGCGATTTTCTCTCAGCTGGAATTCAAGCTCTCTGAGAGTCATCTGTTCAGCAGCTGCGTCAGATGTTGCACGAGAAAAGTCCTCACTAAGATACCCCTTGTATTTGGTCCACAGTGATACAGGGTCGGTAGGATTATTGTAGATGAGAATTGTCGCAAAGAGCTGCCGCAGTTGACAAGGCATTTGGAACAAAGCCGCCTCAGCTAAGCATGCATCCCATTCAGAATCATCAGCCAATAATCCACGGCGCTGGGCAGCCTCTTTAAAAGTGGAGCAAACAATATCATCCACAGTTCGCAAATCTTCAAAACTCTGAGCACCTGCAACATGTAATAGTAGAAGCCGGAGGTGGTATATAACGCTCAGAATCTTTAGGATTCACTGAACACATACGTCCAATGCACAAAGCCCCACCCCGAACTCTAGCACTCCATTGATTCTGCCTGAAAACATAAGCGGAAGGTATGTCTCCATATAAAAGTGATCTTGCGGATACATTAACACAATTGAGCTGAAACCAGGCAGTCAGAGTTGTGCGTCTGCGTGAGGCATTTTCAAGAGCCTGTTCTTCACTACCTTCAACAAAATAGACAGATTGAAAATTAGGTAGATGAACAGCTAAGCGACATATGGTATGCGAGTGAGCATGCAAGCGATATTCAAACATTCGCCACATTGCCTCAGGAGCACTTACATACCGAGCGTCAAGAAAGTTTTTGATTTCATCATGTGCCCTGCTTTCCATATCTAATTCTCCAACAGACACTTCCACCTCAGCCCTGTCGTGTCCCTTATATACATACTTGAAAAGATATTTGACACTTTTCACAGAGGCACAGACCTCCACATTAATGTGAGCATTGAACCTAACCAGCAGATAGGGGTTATAGGGAACAACCCAGCGGTTATCCACCTCGTGAGTGCCCACAACTAATGTCTGGCCGTCATCTCGACGTCTGTACCGAGGATAGCCATTATTGTTAGCCTCAGTCAGCTGCAGGAATGATTTAGGGAAGTCTTTAGTACACTTGCCATCAGACATGCATGGTGAGTGAAGATTGAAGTTTCCACAAGGACCATGGATCATATGTTTACGAACCATGTCATACAGCTGAACCTGCATAGTAGGGCTAGGAATTTCTGCACAAACCAATCTGTCAATGGCATCCCTGTCTCTAGGCTTGTCTTCTTCTCTAAGCATAAACAGCATGTGGGCATGCGGTAAACCGCGTTTTTGGAACTCAACAACATGCACCCGAGCAATGACCACTCCCAATACATGCTGACTAACAATCTCGTGCAGTAATTGTTGTAACTTGAGATTGAAAACTCTAGCCACCAGATCCGGTCTATCAGAAGGATTCTGGTTAGGAAGAAGATTTTCAACAATGTCAGTCCAACGTGGGTTACAGGTAAATGTCACGAATAGGTCAGGTCTTCCTAACTTTCTAACAATGGCCATTGCATCCTGATAGTTTTGTTGCATGGCCCGGGAACTCCCAGGAAAGGAAGATGGAAGAATAAAAATACGGCCTATTCGCACACCCCGAGAATGTTCCTGCTCATGGATATAATCCATCAGACCTTGATATAACTCCACCCTAAGCAGGGACTGATTTTGGCGAATATAGTTCAGGCGATTGCCCTCTGTTTTAACATAGGCATCAACAACATATTGCTGAAATAGTCTCCTGCCATAGTGAATGGGCGAAAAGCCAGGTCTGATGGCCAACCTATAACTATAGAACTGAAGCATGGTAACATGGTTTCTAGTGCTTGTGCGCATGTTTTCTTCATGTAAGATTCCTATTGCCCAACCAGGATCACCGGCAGGAAATAAAAGAGGGTATGTCATTGGGTCACAGTTAGGATTAAGTGGAGAAATACGCACTAAACCACAATCATGCGGAAAAACAGCAATATCTCTGTTAGAAGGTACATGGCCATCTTGATCAACAAAAATGGCCGCAACTTCACTTACACTTGGGGCATTATATCGGCGAAGATCTCTACAATGATTTTGCCGGATGAGCATCTGAACCTGACACATTTGCCGGTTCTCAATGCGAGCCCGGTGTTCCTCAGCTAGTTCCACCTGGTGCATCTGCCTATAAGCAGAAGTATACGGATTCACACGCCTAAGCACAGAATCCAAAAGAGTCAATATACCAGGATGGCATTCCAAAGGCCTAGATGCTGCAATGCGTGTATTATTCGCAGCCTCAGAATCCAAAATATAAAGTTGGGCATAAGACGGGGCTCTGTTTCCATGAGGATGAAGGGGCCCAGTCAAATGATAGATCTGTCCATGGATTCTATAACAAAAAGGCCCCTGTCCAGAAAAGACATCAACCTGCGCACCCATGGAGGCAAATGCCAAAGAGCTGTTGTAGCTCCGAATGTTGGTCTGGAAGTACTTAGCCTCCACACTGTTTGAAGTCATCAATTCCATCATTTCATATGGAAAGGAGGACAAAGTAGGAAGAATAACTTTCCCTTTGTGGCAGCAGGAGCTACCAACAGTTTCGCCAGGGAAATGAAGGGCTGAGCAGTAAGGGCAGACTATAGCGAGGCCCCCAATAATATATTCAGTGGGAACAGGAGAAATAGGATTAGGGGCGTTGTACCCGCGGCGAGTCCTATAAGCTAGTCTTCCACGGCCTCTGCGAGGCATGATACAGAAGCCGCTGAAAAAAAAAAGCTAAACTAAAAACCAAGTTGAGCAAATACATGTCAAAATAAATTTAATGTAAAAGATCTCAATACAAACAACATATTAAATTGCACAGTGCAAAAATGTAGAAAATTGTATGTATCATATAACATTTTATCATATAACAAATTAAGTAATCAACAATTGATTATACAAATAAATAATTAGCCTCTTATTGAGAAAAATAAAGATGGCAAAGACATTATGAAAGATACTGCAAAAAAGAATTATGAAAGATACGGCAAAAAAGAAAACCAGACACAAAAAATTGAGCAAAATGTAAAATTAAAAACTATAACAAAGAACCCACAAATTAATTTAATCAGAAATACAAAAAAGACGCTGAAAAAAAAAGGTAAAATAAGAACCAAGCAGAGGAAAACTATAAGTTTTATCATATAACAAATTAAGTAATCAACAATTGATTATACAAATAAATAATTAGCCTCTTATTGAGAAAAATAAAGATGGCAAAGACATTATGAAAGATACTGCAAAAAAGAATTATGAAAGATACGGCAAAAAAGAAAACCAGACACAAAAAATTGAGCAAAATGTAAAATTAAAAACTATAACAAAGAACCCACAAATTAATTTAATCAGAAATACAAAAAAGACGCTGAAAAAAAAAGGTAAAATAAGAACCAAGCAGAGGAAAACTATAAAACTGAAAGCCAGGACAGGCATAAAAAGAAAATTCCAAGCATGTGAGGAAACAATTGATGAAAAAAAAAAGTGCAAATAATATGTATATAAAAAAGCAAAGCCCAATTCTAAACCCAAATATTTTTTTTATGAGAAGAACATCAACATATTGCATGATTATGGCAGTCCATAGCTTCCCTGACAAAAATTCACCAAAAAAGTTAAATATTCCAAAATAAGTAAGGCACTTTTGCAGCCCCCCTGACAAAAATTCACTAAAAGAGTTAAGTATCCAAAAAAATATTTTGGTATATATATTGCTAAATGTGTAACAAACATGTATATGAAAAAGCAAAGCTTAATTCTAAGTTTTAATATTTTTTTCAATATACAGAAGAAATAAGACACAAAAATGGAGCTAAATTCAAATGAAAAACTATAACAAACAGTTATAAAAGATAATTATTATAGAATAAAGTAATAATTCAATCTACAAATCGAAAAATGTATATATTTAAATGAAAAACTAAGTTTCAATATTTTTTTTAATATACAGAAGAAATAAGACACAAAAATGGAGCTAAATTCAAATGAAAAACTATAACAAACAGTTATAAAAGATAATTATTATAGAATAAAGTAATAATTCAATCTACAAATCGAAAAATGTATATATTTAAATGAAAAACTATAACAAAGTACTTACATAATCAAATTAATCAGATATATATATTATTTCAAAACAAATTTCTACGGAATTTCAAAACAAATGATTGATGATGATAAATGCAAAAAATCTACGATTGTAAAATAGATTAAATTAAAAAATAAAAATAACTGTTAACATTAGGAAAATAAAAACAGGCCTATGACACGAAGAAAAAAATAACGAAAATTTTGGTATATAGATTGTTATGTGTAGTTCAGAATCTTCGGAGGAGATAGCTCAGGACTTTACAATGGAAAACTCTGTTACGGTATTATCTATATAGATAATCTTATATGGACTTTGAAATAGAGTAGTTTCAATCTCAATCTTTCTCAACGAACTGTATCTATAATAACATTTGAAACAACAAAAACTGCATTTGTCCATAAGTCCGACATTCAATTCTTCCTTTCTTAATCGATATCTCACCACGACACCCCATTTTAATTTGCATATCCGGGTAAAGAGAGCCACCACACCTTATTTCCATATTGTCCCGAGTCATCCCAGCGCGATTCTCTCATTAATTTACATAACCCCCACCATATTAAGTTAATGAGCCCGTTAATTTATTAACCAACACACACTTTAATTGATATAAACGGCGGGTTTCCACGTGGTATTTTAAGACCCTGGTTGATGTAATATATCTAATGGCTATAATTACATATAGTGCCTATTTTACATAGTGGCTGAAATATCGTAAGAGAAATAAGTCTTATTAGAGATATATACGGTGTGCAATTACCAATTACCAATTATTTTATATACAAAGCGCTATATCCCGCAAGGGATACTTGCGCCAAACAAGGAGAAAAGTTTATTTATATAAGTTATTCACATTATTCAACGTATGAAAACATTAGATATACAGATTTTGTAGAAAGTTTAGAATGTATTTACAAAATGAATTGAACTTTAAATATGATTTTTTATCGGAAATCAAATCGTTAAGTTCACAAACAACTAGTTAGGTGTGCAATGGAAAAGGTTTCATTGAATTCTAGTCAACAGTCAAAAAGTAATATAAACAAAATGTTTTAAAATAATATATTTGAAAATAAAAAAAAATTGACATCAGACGATATCAGCTGAAGGTCGTCTGGTCACATGTCACATTCCGCCCTGGACAGACGTACATAGGACTTCTATGTGCTATTGCCATGTCGAGCAATATCAAAGAGATAGAAAAAAAACGAGGCACATAGCTTTTTAGAATATATATTGCGGCGTATAAAATTAAAGTCTTTGTATATTTGGGGATGTGAAAGTATTTATTGATGACGTCACCACGACAATTATTAACAAAACTATCTACAGCTAGAGAATCTTGAACAAGCAAGCAAATAAATATTTCGATCATTATTTTATATTGTTGCATCATGGCTAATGAACTTATTTTATTCTAATTTTTGTAATATTATTTTTCAAATATAATAAATTCAAATTTATATTTTATATTTATTTATTTTATTAAACAGAATATATGTATTATAAACAGAATATATGTATTATAGAATCATCATTTGTATTTAGGTACACTGTGTGACTTCACAGCTCTCTTTGATGTGATAAATAAATTCTGGAGGCTACATAAAGTTATCTCCACTTATATAAATTTGTGGGATGGTTGAAACACGGTAAGATACAAGACCCGGCACAGGAGAGGACCAAGGTTGAAGAGTCTGCCAAGCCGCAACCTGGTGCAACAATATCCATTCACAGGTTTCTGATATCTTATTATTCCCTTATATATATTTGTAGGATGGTTGAAACACGGTAAGATACAAGACCCAGCACAGGAGAGAATCAAGGTTGAAGAGTCTGACAAGCCGCAACCTGGTGCAACAATATCCATTCACAGGTTTCTGATATCTTATTATTCCCTTATATAAATTTGTAGGATGGTTGAAACACGGTAAGATACAAGACCCAGCACAGGAGAGAATCAAGGTTGAAGAGTCTGTCAACCTGGTGCAACAATATTGAATAATTAAATTAGATTAAGTCTGTTTACAAATATTTTCATTGAATAATTAAATTAAATAATAAATTATTTCTTCGTCACACAATATATTTACATAGTATGATGCATCATCACGTCATCTGTTATAAAAATTTGAAACTATGATAGACGCGTATGTTTCTTTTTCAAATTAAACCATTTTTTACTGCCTCCAATGATAATACTGCACTCCATTAATGCATCATTGTCATAAGGGCAGTTGAATATTTTCCATTTGAAGAGAATCATACCCGTCAAAAATAGTTTCAATTCCTAATTACATATTCCATATTATTATGAAAAAGGCATCTCCTTCTCGTGCAACTGAAAGTTGCTGATTGCTTGCGCCATCTATCGGAATAAATATCAACTATTCTCGTTGATTTTTAATTATTCCAGAATTGGCCAAATACCCATTCTTGATTAATCAAGAAAAGCTAAACCACGGACACGTTTCGGGCTGTTGGCCCTCATCAGCGTGGTGCAAGCTGTATCTCAACGACCAAAAAACTGGTCCTTCAGGCATTCTGAAAAATTATGAAACGGGTAGTTAAGGCCAGAATTGCGTAAGACCGCGACGCAATGTGAAAAAATAGTACAAATGTGACATTGTACTGGGATAAGGTGCATAAATTATGAAAAAGGAATCTCCTTATCGTGTCGTTGTGTTGTTCATGTTCACATTTTGTAGCGTCCTCACGCAATTCTGGCCATAACTACCCGTTTCGTGTTTTTTCAGGATGCCTTAATGACCAATTTTTTGGTCGTTGAGGTACAGCTTGCACCACGCTGATGAGGGCCAACAGCCCGAAACGCGTCCGTGGTTAGCTTTTCTTGATTAATCAAGAATGGGTATTTGGCCAATTCTTGAATAATTAAAAATCAACGAGAATAGTTGATATTTATTCCGATAGATGGCGCAAGCCATCAGCAACTTTCAGTTGCACGATAAGGAGATGCTTTTTTCTTAATTTATGCACCTTATCCCAGTACAATATTATATTTGTAATATTTTTTCACTATCTATGTTTATTTAAAAAAAAACAATTATCTAATACAAAGAAAATAACGCGCTACCTATATTTATAACAAATGAAAACATAAGGCTCGAATGTTTCTTTTCACAAACAAATGAGACTTCTACTGTCCCTACTTCGATGAAAAATAGGCTTGGCTCATCAGTCTTGCACCCTCCCAGCGGTTTCGCCAATTTAATCTACCAGACCGCTTCTAGGAGCTCTAATACTGTATTGGATCATTCTGATTTTATATTTTACACTGAAGGGTGGAATCTTAGAAGTGGTATTTAAGTAAACTATGGACATAAGCTTTTAGGACAGTAGAATTACATATACACCAATACCTCGCTTTGCGTCGTTTCGTTTTGCGTTTTTTTTCGAAGTTGCGTCGCTGCTTAATTTTTACTGATTTTAACTGTGCGTAGTTAGATTTTCGAAGTTGCGTTGTTTTAGATTCGAGTCTTTAATTTTTTTTTCCTAAAATATGGCAACAACTTTGTTTTTGATTGCGCCTTCACATATTTTCACTTTGCGTCGTTTCAATTTGCGTCGTGTTTTTTTGGAACGTAACCCCGACGCAAAGCGAGGTATGGGTGCATCGAACATATTTGCATCGAGCAATTCTCTTTCGCAAACAATAAGTTCAAGGCCATTTAGTCATAAATTAATACAAAGCAAAACGCGCAATCAATATATAACAAATTAAAACATTAAGACGCGAATGTTTCTTTCAACAAATAAATCAAACTTCTACTGCCCTTTCTACAATAATAAGAATAATGATAAGGCCTGTCTCATCAGTGATGAACCCTCCAAGTGGTTTCGCCAGTTTAATCTACAATATTGCTCTGATATTGTATTTGGTTACTTTACTTTTAAAAACGTAACTGAAGATGAATTATTGGCAAATTTATTTCAAATTAACCATGAACATAAGCTATGAGGACAGTAGAAATACATGTACATTCATAGACAAAATTTAAGGAAGTTGTATCTTTTAGCATGTATATCGGGATTCATACAATAACTATGAAAATTATTACGGTGAGCTTTATTGAAGACACACGAGATAACCAATATACACTCATGGACAAAACTTAAGGAAGTTGAACCTTTCAGCATGTATATCGGGATTGAGACAATAACTCTGAAAGATATTACAGTGACCTTTATTGAAGACACACGAGATAACCAATATACACTCATGAAGAAAACTTAAGGAAGTTGTACCTTTCAGCATGTATAACGGGATTGAGACAATAACTCTGAAAGATATTAAAGTGACCTTTATTGAAGACACACGAGATAACCAATATACACTCATAGACAAAACTTAAGGAAGTTGTACCTTTCAGCATGTATATCGGGATTGAGACAATAACTCTGAAGACACAGAGATAACCAATATACACTCTTGGACAAATTTAAGAAGGTTGTATCTTTCAGCATGTATATCGGGATTGAGACAATAACTCTGAAAGATATTACAGTGACCTTTATTGAAGACTTCAATAAATCATGAAACCATTTACTTTTCTTGTTCATTTCTTTGATCGAATTATACATTCCTAGGCTCAATGTTTATTTACTTTATAAATAGTTTAGATTAAGAAGGAAAAAAGGAGGAGAAGGGAAGATCATATTTATTTATATTGAGCTCATCTTGGACTCCATCTTTGAAGGTTTGGTGATGGCGTCAACTTCCCCGGAGTTTCACAGCTGGTTCTCTGTCATCCTTCAGTCTCAGGCTTGTCTGTGGAGTTTCCTCTTCAGGTATTCCTCTAGATTCAGGTCCCAGGCCAGTTTCTGTAACTTCCTCTTTGATGGTGGTTCGCTAGATTCCGTTTACAGAGCAGTCTATGGAGCTTCGTCCCTGCTGAGGTTCCCTAGCCCCTGTCCCAGAGGAGATCATGGCGGTTTTTCCCTGCTGGGGTTCGCTAGCCCACTGTCCCAGAGGAGATCACGGCGGTTCTTCCCTGCTGGGGTTCGCTAGCCCCCTGTCCCAGAGGAGATCGTGGCAGTTCTTCCCTGCTGGGGTTTGCTAGACCCCTGTCCCAGAGGAGATCATGGCGGTTCTGCCCTGCTGTGGTTCGCTAGCCCCCTGTCCCAGAGGAGATCATGGCGGTTCATCCCTGCTGGGGTTCGCTAGCCCCCTGTCCCAGAGGAGATCATAGGTTCTTCCCTGCTGGGGTTCGCTAGCCCCCTGTCCCAGAGGAGATCGTGACAGTTCTTCCCTGCTGGGGTACGCTAGCCTCCTGTCCCAGAGGAGATCATGGCGGTTCTTCCCTGCTGGGTTCGCTAGCCCCCTGTCCCAGAGGAGATCATGGCGGTTC